GTTGCTCTAGTATCATAATCAAGTCAAAAAATAAACAGTTAAGTAAATTATTTAAATATATGGGGACCAATAAAATTAGTTATATTTTAAGCCCACCTTCAGTAAGATGCCACTTTACTTTGTATATAATACTTTCTATTTTAATTAACATATACTTTTACTAGTATGTCAGTATAATTAATTTAAATTTAATTTATTTCAATTGTAATTATCACAATCCGTTGTATTTGACGAGGTCCAGTTGTGGTAATGGTAAGAAATGTATACGACTTAGTGGACCGGAATATTTCTTAACATTATTATAATTTTATTACTTTCACTAATTTCTTAACAGTATTTTTTTCTGTTTTTCCTTCCTATTAAAAAATTAAGCAAAAACAACTATTAATACTTATTAAATTAAATGACTAAAATGTCCCGTAAATTTATGCTTTGTTTTAGCTGACCTTCAGCATTTGAGTGAAAACATCTTTCGAGATGGCCTCTACGAAACGCAGTGCGCGACCGGTTGGATATTTCGTGTTGCGTAGCTTCCTCATATGTGTAAATATGTTTGCCAGGGCATTCCTGATGCCATCCATATCAGTTGCAGCCATCAGTTCGTTCAGTGGCAAATCCTTCATCAGTACATTGTAATCGTTTACCATTGCTAGCGCTTGCTTTAGGCCTAAAAATACACTTAACAAATTCAGGCAAACATTGGTACGACCGATTGCTTTAGGCCTAAAATATATCTTAAAATATTTAAGCAAACTATGCGGAACGGACCGGCGTATGTGCTAAGCTTGAAACCCTCAAAAACAGCAATACGGCTTACATCAACGGAGCGGAATCGCCAAAAATATCGGGAAATCATTGGCGAGGCGCACTAGGCGGGCCCGTGCGATCATGTATGTGTTTTTGTAGTATTTCATGCTGTAGCAAGGTCGCTTGGAATCACAACAGGCAGAATTTCTGACATGGTTCTCGAATTTCAGGAAGTTAATTGTACAACTGCCATGTGGTACTTGGAAAGAGAACATTCTGTTAAAATTTTGGCTTTCTCGCTTTCCTCATCCCCGAGTTAACGATTTTCTCGTCAAGAATTCTCAGGACGCTATGCTCGAGAACCACGCACGCCTGAAGACTGAATCTGATACATCTCTGAGTTCTACATGGGCAAGGAACAATCCCTCAAAATGCCAGCTTTCTGAATCCCGAGTTAACAATTGTCCCTCAAAAACTTTTACGGGGACGTACATTAGCACAACGCGTAACTGGGAGCTGAATTTGAAATATTTAAGTTGCACTTGGGCTGGGAACATCCCCTAAAAGTTTCAGCCTACCAACTTTTTCGGTTTCCGAGTTAGCCGTTTTTCCGCCAAAACTTTTATGTGGCCGTACACGGGGTCCAGACTTGTGTGAGAGTTGATACCACGGCCCACGAATGGCACATGGCCGGGAACCCGGTGGTAAAATTTTGGCTTGCTTGGTTGCCGAGTTGAAATACCCGGACAGACAGACAGACAGACACACACACATACATACACACACACACACGGTCGTCATAATGTGCGTTTTTGCATTTGCATATATGCAAAAACGCATAAAAAAGGTAAAGTAATTTGTCGAAACATTTTGAAAAAAAA